GTGTTGACACGACTTCCCTATTTGGATGCCGTCCTATCCGAGACACTTAGGCTTCACACGCCGGCCCCCAAACTGACCCGAATAGCCGCTCGAGAATACAAATTAGGCGACACCGGGATTACGATACCAAAGGGCATGACAGTGGAAGTGCCCGTATATGCCATACACCGGTCGCCTAAGTACTACCACAATCCCGATCAATTTGAGCCGGATAGATTTTTTCAAGAACACAAGCACAACTTAATTCCCTATACATACCTACCTTTTGGCGGAGGCCCACGATTTTGCGTCGGAAAGCGCTTTGTATTATTAGCGGTAAAAGTGGCCATGGTCATGATTATTAGAAAGCATCGTCTGCTTCATACCGACAATACTGCGTCGCCATTAATCTTGCAAAAATTTTATAGAAATAAAATGGTCAAGTCCATTTGGGTGGGTATTGAACGTAGATACTAAGTTTGGACCATCGAGGGACGAACTTGCCTGTGGTTATGATTGTCGAGAATAGTTAGTATTGCGGTAACATAATTAACATTTTGAATTAATTAAACTTGGCGAATTAAGTTAATTAGCTTGATAAATGTACGTTCAATCAATACTGGCATCCTCATTTTGTCATTGAAATAACATAAGGATTATGGTACATAAGTTGAATTTTGCAATTGTATGACTGCTTTGTGCCATCAAACATAAGATCATTTTACCAATAATTGCCGATATTATATGAACACAAAATAATAGTATAACATTATATACAATTAAATCTAATGTTATATCAATGACAAAATGAGGATGTCAACGATAGTTTAACGTAAATTTAACAAGCTAAGTTACTTGAATCGTCAAGTTTAGACAATACAAAATGTTAATTGTGTTACTGGCTAACTATTCTCGACAATCATAACCACACAAGACATGTTCGTTCATCAATGTTCCCAACTAAGAAGGAATGTCCCTTATCAAAAGTAAAATTTATCATTTCTGTAGATATTTTAGTATTCTGTA